TAGATTCATGTTCGCTGCACTAATCCTTAGAGAACAAACTAACTCAAACATGGCCAGTTGTCTAATTTAATTCAATTCACTAGGTTATTTATTCGGGTTAATTTAGACTTGTAATGGTTAACTAATTTGGTCCTTTAATTAACCTCTTGTTGGTGGTCATCACACAAGCTCACACATGAATTTACCCATTTTTCTATTAATTCTAGTTTCACAGTCGCTAATCCTAGACATATAATAAAGTGGTCACATAAATTATATGAGGTAACAATTAAGAGATGTTCATGCAGCTTAATTATCTTCCTATTAACAGAAAAATAGTTATCATTCACACATAAGGTTCTTTAACAAGCTAGAATTAACAAAATCACCAATATTAAATCAATCCTGCCATAGATCAAAGCATAGTCTCAATATGGTCTCCCCAAACAGAAGTTAAAAGGTTTTAGTTCATGATTGAAGTAATTGACAAAACAAAAACGAAATCTAAAAGTCTAAACATGATGAAAAACAATAGATTGAAGTAAGAATGATGTGAATTTGCCTCAGATCTCCTTCGAGATTGGGTTTAAGGTTGTATATTCGTTCTCCAGGTCTCTCCTGACTCTAATTCGCAGCTTGTTTCTCCCCAAGGGTTCCAGAATTATTTGTGTTGATCTGAAAAGTCGTTTTTATAGATTCGCACCGACTCATCGAGTCTATCACTTAATTCCCATGCACGGTAAGTAAGAGAGTCCTTCTCTTCTCGATTCTTCGATGCGACTCGCCGAGTACCTTGTGTTTTTAGCATTTTTCTTCTTTGTTCATCTCCCGAGCTCCCAACCGCTTCTCCTGCTTCCTTTTGCTTCCGAGCTTCGCTTTTGGACTGAAAACATAATTCAAACACTTTTAAGTATCTTTTGTCCATGATATGAAATAAATTAGCTAATAAATGATAAAAAGCTATACTTAATATAAGGCTACATATGCAAATATCAAAATACCCCACACTTGACTGTTGCTTGCCCCCAGCCAAAACTGAAATTTAGCACATTAGAATCACATAGGACAACTCCAATCGAACCTAGCCATTACGTCAAAACCGCAATGGGTGCATTTGTGTCTAAAACTTTCCTTAACCCCCCCCCCCCAATACACCAAATACTTACAATCCTCATAAACATTCACCCACTTATCCCGAACAATGCTCATTTTATGCATCCCTCTAAATCCATCCGCAGAAAACCTCCAATCCTCAAGGTATTTTTAGTTGAGCAACCCAAGCATACATAATCTAGATAATTACAATTTATGATACCACATTAGAGCTCTTTGGAATTCTTCACTTCTTTGATAATTTGATCTTGATTTATTTGAATTCACCACCTTCTTTGATTTGATTTTTGGTATCTTCAACTTTTGAACTTTTGGAATTTTAATCTTTTGATCTTCACTTTGATTGCTCCAAAATTCTTACAACTTTTCTTGTAATTCTCTCTCTTTTTTTTAACATGTACCTCACTTTTTTCACTCAAAACCCTACATGCTTAAGTAGGGGCGCTCAACTTCAACCTTTATTGGCTAAAATAATAATTTTCCTGGATACATTTCTGGTACACGATGCTAAACATATTGCATCCTTCGGGCTAAGCAAGGTCGTGGTTTTGTCCCATGATTTCACTGGAATAAGGAAGCCACAAATGCACTAGAACGTATATAGGCTCAACTAAACATTTGGGTCTTCATGCAATCATCAACATAATTCTAACATGATCCCTAATTGCTTTACCAAAATTTTCTAAATTAGCCCTAGCAATTTTAATGCAAAAATTTCAAAATTTTCAAAATCTAACTAAAATTTTAACTAATATAACCAACCCCTACCCCACACTTAATTTATGAAATGTCCCCATTGCATATTATGCATGATAAAGAAAAACAAAAATATATAGAATATAGAGGGAATTAGAACAAACTCCCCTGGGGTAGCAGTCGCTAAGCTGATCATCTTCTATTAAGCTCCTACTTCAATCGACTTTAGACATGGGAACAACTCATCCATGTCTTGGGCATCAAATTGCATGTGGTAGCTCCAAATGTACAGGAAAGATACTGTAAAATCTTCAGGAATTGATTACAAAGATAAAGTGGTCACGTGGTGTAGCTAACAGCATCAAATCAGCAGCCCTTGTGGTAGATTAATGAAGGACTCGTCGAGTCATATAAACGACTCATCGAGTCATAGCATGATAATGTTGAAGTCGTGAAAACGTACTGCGATTCGTCGAGTAGGATAACTGCACTCGGCGAGTCATCGCTGTGTGGAAAATAATTAAATTCTGTCTTGAATACAGCTTTTCGTAGACTTCAAAAACTTCCCATTGCTTCAGTAAACATTCACTCATAAACTCTTTAGGACCAGACTCAACACTTAGTGAAACGACCCAAAAATACGACCCAAAAATTTCGTTTTTAATACCATCAAAACTATAATCAGAGTATCATATAAATAAACCATGCGTGATATGCCCCAAAATATAATAAAGTACTGTGCGGAAACTGTAACATACTATATCCAAAAACAACAACTAAATCAAATCCAGACTAAAGCTGAAACGGTGGTGTGTGCGATGCCGTCACCCAGAGCTCTTCCCTTTGCTTGCGGAAGTACCTGAAACCAAAACTGAAACTGTAAGCACGAAGCTTAGTGAGCTCCCCCAACTTACCACATACCATACAACAACATATAAACACATATTGGGCCTTGCCCACTGCATCGGGCCGGGGCCCGGAAACTGCATCGGACCGAAGTCCGGAACTGACTGGGACCTTGTCCCCTGCATCGGACCAAAGTCCGGAACTGGCTGCATCGGACCGAAGTCCGGAACTGGCTGCATCGGACCGAAGTCCGGAACTGACTGCATCGGACCGAAGTCCGGAACTGACTGCATCGGACCGAAGTCCGGAACTGACTGCATCGGACCGAAGTCCGGAACTGACTGGTACCGTGTCCCCTGCATCGGACCGGAGCCCGGAACTGACTGAGCATAGCATGGCATATCATAACAAACATACTGCATACTGCATCGGGCCGCAACCCGGAACATAAAACACATAACACATAGCACATGAATTATGTCTGAACCACGAAGGCATCAAACATACTAACTACTACATCGGACCGAAGTCCGGAAACTACTATTAACTGGACGGGCCGGCATTGTGGCCTTAGACCCGCCCCTACGGGAAGGAAACTCACCTCGTAAGCTAGCGGATGAGTGTGTGGCTTGGAAAGCTAACGGCTGCTGCTCCTGAATCTCCTCGGCTCAATAAGTTCACACTTGACCTCGGATCTTGGCACTAGAACACGTTTCCTTGCTTCCTTCTTCTTCCCCTTCTTCACCTCTTCACAAAATGGAACAAATCACATATAAGCTCACAAATGGAAGGTTTAGGGTTTCTCACAGTGCTCTCAGGGGGAAAGTGGCGAGATGGAGGCTAT